CTTGGGCTGCCTGTGGGTTATCGAGTCAATCTCCATCTCTTTTGGATTCACATAGAAGAAACTGGGAGTAGAGGGACGGATTACTAAATTAAAAGCTAGAAGAATTGTGGAAGACTTGCGTTTGAGATAACTTGAACGATATATAGTTTCACTTCCCCTTCGACGAATAATGGTTAAATAATGTCCAAAAAAGTGAAGGATGGGTACCTGGTGAACGCTTTCTTTCTTTCTGACCTCTCTCCTCCTACCACAAATTTAAGGGAAAAAAGGAGTATTTCATTTTTATCAAATCCGTTAGAAGTTAAATATGAATCATTTTTAAATTTCCTAATTCAAATAAGAGTGAATTTCTTACCCTTAAAAGTTGCAGCTCTTGTTCAAGTCTCTGATTGGCCGTGTGGAAACTCAGAATTTGCTGTTGCAAGAATGGATCTACAGCTAAAACACACTAAAATGGGTCAATCATGTGATACGGATACAGTAAATGTGGATGGACAATGGCAGGTTTTTCTGTTGTGTTCCTTTCACAGACAAACATGCATATACATTATAGGCACCCAACAATTCACAAACAAGAAAAATAAAAGGCAGATTACATGTACATACATGTAAATGAAGTGCTACCCAGGAAAAACCATTACAGTCCATCATACAGATCTAACCTAAGAACTATAAAAATCTGCTCAGGAGCATTTCTTTACCCGCATGAAAGTATGAGGATTTGAGAAACAAGAACCATAATGAGAGGTTTGCAAAGGGTCCACCCCCCGACAGACGTCTTCCTGATGGGTCTCAAATCTTCCGACGGATGGAGAAACCTGCATCCTACAGCCCTAACGAAGAGGGCCTGTACGCTGCAGGTTACTTCAGTCAAGGCTACAAATGCTGAGGAACCTTCATTCAGGGGGCACCCTCGGAAAGGGAGATGTGCCTCGAATGACTCTCAAGAACATGTATATCATACCCATGGAGTACATGATGACTCAAAAAGATTTTAGTGTCCCCTTTACCTTGCGGTCTCTGGGTAGCTTGCATTCTTTGTGCTTCGTACTCTAGATCTCTTATCTGTGCAAGTATTTCTGGATCATGGCCTCCCTTTTGGAAATAGTCATTCTTCAGCATACTGTAAACAAGAACGCACATACATGTACTTGTCAGGTAAAATTATAAGGACACATAGACATGTATGTACTACTAGGAAAAATTGTCATCTTTGTTTACACATACAGTGCATGTAGTTTCTTGATGCTTCTTCGATTACTTATGGATGCATGATGAAAAATGTGTACAAATTAATGAGGTCATGTTTGTTCCTTCTGCGTGTACATGTAGTGAGATAACTCTGGCAGAAGATGGAGGCTGCCATCTCCAAAGCTGGGCAATGAATGCTCAGGGCTATTCTAGTCTTAGATATTCTAGTCTTCTCGGATAAGGATGAATAAATGGAGGTCCCGTCTCCTGCAGGGTTGGGGTAGGAGACGTTAATTTCCCACACACGAGATTACTGTGTGATGGATGTTCTCCCCTGGGGTGGGATGGGTGCGAAGGTGAGATCGATGGACTGAAGTGGCTGCCAGAGGCGCCTGATATACTGACATCTGTTCTCAACCTTAAACTGCACCCGTAATTCAGCCTTAGGCTGCAAGCAGTCAGAAATACTATATTATTATTATTATGTTATAATCCATTATAACGTTTTGAAGTAGACAGCTGAGTTGATGAAGCAAGCAAGGTCAACGCTAGGTCAAACCTCAGTGCACATGTGTTTATTGCTTGTTGTTTATTAGCCTTTATTTTTTGGATAAGCTGGATTGTTTAATTAGACTCACATGAGGGTATAGAACATTGCAGAATCATTGTGTTTATTGGAGCAACTTTCAAGGTTACGGACACGGACAATTGCTTTTTTGTATGCATTTCTCAAAAGGGATTGTATTCAAGCCATGCGCTGAGCATAGTTGATTGGATCTGATAAAAGGTGGAATTGATAGCTGTTACAGATAAAGATAACTTCTACCTGATAAGTTTTGAGTGTTCTCATTAACTGTTTGCTGGAAAATGTATGGATATTTTAGGGACAAGTTACATGTTAATCACTTCTGGGAGTCAAAAGGTTTACCAATGAGAATTCAAAGTGAAAACAAGCAACCTGTGGTTGAAAATGTGAGTGACCAAGTTTGGATTGGTTTTAGTCTTTCATTTTATTAGTCCAATTAATCCAATCCAGGATTGCTTCTTTAAAACTTAATCCTCCATTTTATGTGAATAAAATCCTAAAAAAAAGTACTCACTTGAGTTCATGCAAGACATTGCTCTGCCCATGTGGTATTGGAGCTGGCTCGTAATATTGTATTGAAGGCTGATATGGCACAACCTGGCCTACAAGAGCAACAAACAAAATATTTGATATAAAATAAAATACCTAGTACATGATTTTTTTTTCTTTTTTTTTTTTTTTTTTGCACATTAAGAGATTATAAACCAACACTACTTTAAGTACAGGTACATAATTATGGAAATACTCAGTCTGGTAAATTGTAATAAAGAGTTAATTGTCCCATTCAATAGTAGAAGCATTTGACAGAGTGTGTAGTTTTTGTGCATGTTACTGTACCTCTTCCATTAGATAGCTCCCTCGGAGATTTCCTGCCAAGAGACCATGAAAAACAAGGTGTGAGAAATACACTCTTAAATAAAAGCATGGGCTAAAATAGTTGTGGATAATAGATACATGTAGTACCTTGGAAGTACTGCTTGCAGTTCTGGACCTCTTACATAACCAGCTGTTACACTTTGAGGTGGTAATTTGGGTGAAACCTTCATTATATTTGCTTGAGATTGCTGTGCATGGAAATTTCTCCTGGGGAGAGAAAAAAAAAAAAAGAGCTAAGAAAATCATCTAGGGCTGGACAAAACAACACATTCAAAAATACATTTAAAAAAGAGTCACAAGGAAGTTTCAAGAATTTTTCTAACTTTTCTTCGTCTTCTTTAAATTCCAAATATCTCTTGAGTCCATCAAGTTCTGTGGCTTGTTGTTTCTACAAAAGTTAAGGAAAGAATATTTGAGGTAAGTAACTCAGCAGCAGGTATACATGAGCACTTCAACAAACTGCAACTCTTATCTGTTATTTTTTAAAGCTAACATGACACACAGGGCAAAATCAAAGTTAAGGGTAACAAAAAGATGACAATGGGAAAAAACAAAGTGACACCACAGTCAAACTGCACATGTTTTTCTCTGATTCATACGGTAATTTGCATTTATTGCCATCCATGTATTATGCTAAATGACATTTGTTGGACCAAACTTAAAGAAAAGATCAGCGACAAACACAAAAACTGTGGTCCACACACAGAGTGGCAAATTGAGTTTAAAGCATCTGGCCCCAGTTGTTCCAGGGTTGGATAACAGCATATAGCCCAGTATGTTTTGTTAACCTTATCTGCTGGATAGCAATTCATCCATTGGATTATATAGGAAATTCATTACTTGACGAGGGAATTCCGCATTAAATTGCACGCGAAAACTGATGTCGCACGAATCGTGAAGCGATGAGTGCAATATCGGTTTTCAAGTGCAATTTAATGTGGAATTCATGAGTGAAGTAATGGATTTTCCTTGAATCGCATAACTGAATAAAAATGAGAAAAAAAAAGGAAACAGCATTTACTTAAAATTGCTATGTTTACGTAGATGTGAAACAATATCACTTAGCCTCGTTTTCAACTCACAATTCCACGCTAAATACCTCGCTTCATTCACCAAGCAGAATGCGAGATTTTATTCAATGATGCAATTCTAAGCATTATCTGCCCTTTGAACAACTGGACCCAGCAGACAAAATGTGACATTTTTCAAGAATACCTTTAGAAATAACAAATCATACAACTGAAAATAAAGTTATACTGTAATTAATAAACTCATACCAGACTTCCTTGGGATGGAATTTTTTGTCTGCTTCTTATTCCTAAAGAATTTAATCTTTCAGCTAGCCCTGGTAGGTGAGAGCACATACACACATGTTTAATGTATCCGAACTGAAATTATTCCAATAAGCACAGTAGACTTTCTCAAAATCTCATAACTGAGTTTATGCCATAAATTCGTCATTGATGGCAAAGGACAAGCTCTGGTTGCTATTGCTCATAAGGATAAATTAATACACATTGTGCAACAAATTAAGTTTACATGTACATCTTATAACCAGAGATTCATTAAAAAAGAATATTTTTTACTTACTGGCTTTCTCTTCCTGAAGTTTCTCATTCCTCAGTTTAAGGTCAGCAAGTTGCTGCTGATGGATGTCAGTCAATTTCCCAATCCTGTCATCACCCTTATCATGATCGTGATTGCCTCTCCTTGAGGTCTGTAATATTTACATTTGTATGCAACAATAATTTTTTCAATACAATAAACATGGATTGTATACATTGCTCTGAATGGTAAGCTAATTTTTTTTGTGTTTATGGCATTGGATTCCACAAGCTCATACACTGTGATCACCAAAAAGAGAGCACAATTCTCTCGTTATGGTCAAAATTTTACAGAAGCATATCCAAAAATTACAAAATTCTCTTGGTCTCCAAGTAATGTACCTGAAACCGCCTGTCTTTGATGCTGTCCAAAAAATGCTTCTCCTCCAAGTTCCTTGAATTTCTCTGCAGCACATGATGAGCTTTGAACCTTTTTAACTGGTCAATCTAAAATACAGAAAAAAATAATTATGAATGAAAATTATATAATCATGAAAGATTGACAGAATGAAGAGTGTTCATTCAAGATTTTTACTACTAAAATCTAATTGATTGCCAAGAACATTTTAGCTCTTTGACTGCTAGGTTAGTGACTTGTTGAACGATCAAGAGCTTTTAAGTTGTCGATCATTTCCTTTATTCTTGTGACCTTAATGTATGATTTGGGGGTGATATCGCAAATTTTTCTTTACAATATCATATCCCCAAATCATACAATAAGATTACAAGAATAAAGGAAATGATAGCCAACTAAAAAGTCTTGATTTCTCCTTGCTAACACCCTAAGAAATGTATAGAGAACAGTATGGAGAATATGCATGCTGATGTTAGGGTGTAGAGTGTTAAATGACATAAAGTATTGGACCACTCAAACAATTCATCTGTACATTTTAATTTCCATTTAATTTCCATGTTCAACTAACCTTTTCTTTTTCAAGAGCTGTTATATCACCATAATCACTAGAGGGTGTGTTTGGTGCAGATTGATGGCGTAAGGAATGATTTGGACTGGAAAGAAAAATCTGAATAAAAGAATCAAGCAAATTTTTAGTTTAGGTTGCTTTACTTCTAAAACTTATCAAAATAAAAAATTGAAAAGCGATGAAAAATGTTATTTGTTTTGACACATTTAGCAAAAAGAAAAGAAATTGAGTTTCCCTCAGAGAATCAAACCTCAGACTTCCAGATTTTGCCAAATTTCTAAACACCTGAGATTCCATTCCCCTTCCTTCTTTATTTAACCACTGTGCCCAAAATGTACCATCTTTGTTATTCATGCTACAATAATACTAAAATTCTCCTTTTTGTAATTTACTCACCTTGCTCCTATCATTTTCTGGATATACACTGCTAATATGTCTTGATGGAGTATTGGGAGCAGAATAAACTGAAGGCTTGATATAAGGTAATGGCTGGGTGGATTTACAGATAAAATGTTTAACAATAGACAAATCTCATTCACAGCAAAGTTCATTCACGAGAGGGGAGACTCGTCAACAATCATACCTTTGAAGCCTTATTTATAATTAAAAATTTGAGCTGATAATGTAACTTGGTCACGGTAAAGGGTTTCTAGCTAAAATTTACATGACATGTATCAATGCATTTGATAAAACCAAATTATCTTGTTATACCCCCAACTGTCACAGCACCACAATTTCAGGAGAAACTTATCCCCTTTATTCATCTATGTTTACACTAATTCTCTAAATAATTTCTTTGATTTTTTTATTGTTTATTGCATTTTTCCCTTTCAATTGAATTGTAAACTACTTCTTTTAACTTAATTAGTTTAGTTGTCTTGCACTGACCTTAAAAAGCCCCATCAGAGGAGTCAGTAAAGTATTGTTATTGTTATTATTATTATTATTATTATTATTATTATTGACAACCATTCTGTACCAGTTTGAGCAGAAACAATAATTGAAAAGCTTTTCCTTAGCAAAATAATTTGGATATATCAACAAAGTTGAAATGGTAAATTGGCCACCGTAATGATTACAAAAGCTGACGTTTCGAGCGTTAGCTCTTCGTCGGAGCGAATGGCGAAAGGGCTAACGCTCGAAACGTCAGCTTTTGTAATCATTATGGTGGCCAATTTACCATTTCAACTTTGTTGATAATTATATCCAAATTATTCCGTTACTCCCACCGACGCAGCCCAAACAGTTTCTTTCGAAACTATCAGCCTTTTTTCCTTAGCAAACTTCAGTTTAACATTGATGAATGTATAAAAATCATACATGTAAACTGCAGTTAAAGAAATGAGTATGAGTGCAGTCTTCACAGTAATGAACACCACTTAAGCAGTACTGTAGTGAAAATTAGGCCTGAAAAATTAGGTCTGAAAAATTAGGACCTGTATGGGATTTGAACCCATGACCCCTGTGATACTGGTGCAGTGGTCTATCAACTGAGCTAGCAAGCCAACTGGGAGCTTCTATAAACTAATGTAATGACCAGTTCCCAGTTGGCTTGCTAGCTTAGTTGGTAGACCACTGCACTGGTATCACATACAGGCCCTAATTTTTTCAGGCCTAATTAATTTTTCATTACTGCTTAAGTAGTGTTCATTACTGCAAAGATCGCTCTCATACTCAAAGTTCAGTTTTTAAACAAGAACAATTGTCAATTAAAATTTTGTCAAGGATTAAATTTTACTACAAGGGAAAGTCCACACCAGCAAGTATTCCCTGACAAATTTCACTGAAATGTATTCTCACCTAATCTTTATCAAGCATTATAAATTTTTTTCCCTTTACAGGTTCACTCCTCTGCATGAGGAGTATTTAAATTCAAATAATTACCTGGAATCAAAGAAAAATTTGCTACCATTTGCTCGTGGTAGGATACATGTAAATGTGAGCTCTCAGCTTTGCTGCCAGAGTACATGTACATCTATATTTACCCTTACCTCGGACAACTTGACTTACCATTTGAAATTCTTGTCTGTCTCTTTTTTCAGTGTTATTCCCACCTTTACTAGAAATTCTCGAATGAATACGAGCGGGATCCACACTGTTTCCAAAACAAAACTTCTTCTTGTGAGTCTCGTACAACTGTTCAGTTTTAAATGTCATATTACACTCCTTGCATTCCCAAACCATCTTGTTCAAGAAATATTTAAAAATTCGTTTTTCAGATGTGCATTACGAAGAAGGAAAATCGTTTTTCTTGATATTTTTGGCCATGGAGTGCTCTTTTCCTGAGCAAATAGAGGTCAACGTGAACCAGTTGTCAAGGTACATGTAGATAAAGTCTGCAGAAAATATTCCTCGATGTGCTTCGGTGCATCGCATTGCAAGCTGAGGGTGAGATTCATTTCTGTCTATACAGAAAATTATATTGACTTCTTCTTCATTTCCGCGCTTTTAGAAGAAAATCAATCATCTGAATCCCTCGTAATAGACGAGACTGTAGAGACTGTAAAGACTGTAAACATATTTTCCATTACTCACTAATGCCATTGGTCAGCGGTGGTTGCTGTTAGAACCCATTCCTTTTGCACACTTCGTAACGCGATGAACGCGATGCAAGTGTGACAATCTCAAGACAACACATACGCAGTTTATTCTTGCACGTAATCATGAAGTTAGCGTACAGTTATTTTTCTCTGTGTGCTTTTTTCACGAGCCTAATTTCTAATGGAGCATGGGTGAATGGCAATCTATATGACCCACACTTGTTTCCAGCTGAAGGTCCGTTTATGGAGGGATGGTATTCGCGAATCATAGACATCAACTCGAATCACTCGTTCGGAGTTTTGTTCGGTCAAGTTCTTATTCAAAAGAAAGGCCCTGAGTTTGGTCATTATCCGCAAAATATGGTCTCGATTATACACAGCAAAGGGAATGGACGAACAATGGAGAGGTTCTCTGTTTATCCTTCAAACGAAGACATCGTGGTTACAGTTGATGGCAAGTCTGTGTCAAGCAATCCAGATTTCAAATCTCCAGCGAACTTCGAATGGAAGGCAAAACCTTATGGTTACTTCAGAGTGACTGAAAACGAAACGAGAATTAATTTTACCAACGTGGATGGTGTAAGTTTTATTGGTGTGTTAGGACCCCCCAAACCTTGGGGCCCAAACGGGGAAGGCCCAGAGGGCTGGATTGATAACGTGCCCTTCCTTCCTCTTCATTGGTTTGTTTACAGTTTGGGCTCTGAGCTCATTGCTTATAACTGGGTGAACGAAAAATCTGGAGAGTTGTTACGAGGAAATCAGGGCCTTGCACATCAAGAGAAAAACTGGGGAAATAGCTTCCCACCAGCTTGGATTTGGGCAGAAGGAGTTGACAGCTCTTCAGGTTCCTCATTTGCAATATCCCTTGGAGTTCTTAGCTTACTAACATTTGACGTACCTGCCCATCTGATTGGCTATCGCAGTGCAGCAGCAACCCTTAATTTTAGGCCAACAAACTCTTTGCTGACATCAAAGCACATTGATGGATGCACTGGGAAAATGAATGCCACTGTAACAAGCCTTATAAACAAACTGGTATTTGAAATAGAGACAGCACCATCAGCTTTGGAAACATGTCTTCTTGGACCCACATTGGATGGCTTTGCTCCAGTGTGTGTGGAAAGCTACACTGCAATCACTACTTTCCATGTTTACAAGATGACTTTGTCTGGGTATGAACTCATTGAAACAAAAACATTTAACATGGCTGCATTAGAGTTTGGTGGCTTTTATTTGTGCTCAGAAAGGAATCCTTGTCAGTCTGAGTCAGACGGGGCAGCATGAGTTCCTGTATAGATTTTGCAAGAAGTGAGCTGAAAATTAAATTCTCCTGCATAGGAAGAAAACATTTGCATTTAAAAAATATCAATTGTTATGTAAGTGGGGCAAAAAAAAAAAGTTTTTGTACTGAGGGGATATAATAGGGATTTTGTATCATTTCATTAAATTTACATTATATTAAAATATTATTTGATAGGGAATTTTTGGAACTGAACAGGTTTTGAACTCAAATTTTTGCTTATTCTGTGATTGGGACAAAATAACAAATTTCTTACTCTTAAAAAAAATGATTCTATAAATTATTTTACTGTACATTACCATTAAAAAATTATGATAAAATAGTGCCGTTTGATGCATTTAAACACAAAGAAGGCAAAAAATTAAAATAGAATTTATTACAGCAGGAAATAAAGAGGAATTTTGTTTCAAATAATATTATTTATATTGATTTAAAAATATTATTTGCAAGGAAAGTTGGCCTGACCAACTAAGATTTTTCTTTTAATGATATGGATAAAAGGTTTAACAAATTTCGTCCTCTTCAGAGAAAAAAAATTGGAATTATATTTTATTATGCTGTTTTATCGCCTCACCATGTATTTGTATTATATGTGGGGTTATGAGTTTATCTGAAAAAAATTTCTAACTACTTGTAAGAGTTTTTTTGTGTAAATGCACATTTTTGATGAGAAAACTAACTGATCAAATGAAATAACTATGACAGAAAATACTGAAGATGGAAATTAATAAATAAATACATTTATAAGAAATTGTTCGACTAGAAATTGTAAGAGGTGAAATGAATAAAAATATTGTTATTAAGAAGCCATTATTACGCTTTACTGGAGAGTTGGTCCAAAGCTAAACCCCTTAACTCTGAAGATCTGAAATTGTGATTCTCCCCACTGGCTACTACATATGTACTTGTAAATGAGTTTCAAGAATTTGGTGTTCGATCAAGGTAACATCTACCTGATAAGTTTGAGTATTCTCATTATGTTTTTGCCAGATAATGTATGGATATGAGTTTTATGGAAATTGGTTGCCTCTGATTGTCGTTATTTCTGAAACAGACGTTTCGGCTAATGCTTAAGCCTCATCAGTGATATGAAAAACGAAGATCGTTATCATATGCTATTTAAAGTTAAAAAACGTGACGCGAAGCTTGCGCACGTAACTATGTATTTGATGCTCGCGCGAGGTACGATGTGATCGTTCCCAGCATTCGGATCCAAAGTAGAGTGCCAGGCTTCAAGGAAAAGTCTCTCGTGGTAATTAGATTCGAAACCAACGACCCTGACGTTTGTAAAGTCCATGTTATGGTCGAAAAGGTGGACATGGCTTGCGACTTTGGAATTTAAGTCAACACCTGCAAGTGCAATTTTTTTTTAACTTTAAATAGCGTATGATAACGATCTTCGTTTTTCTTATCACTGATGAAGGCTTAAAGCATTAGCCGAACCGTCTGTTTCAGAAATAACAACAGTCACAGGCAACCAATTTCCATAAAACCCGTGACATTTCCTGACTACACTTTTTCCATTTTTAAATGTATGGATATCACGGAGAGAAGTTTCTTGTTAATCACTTGTGTACCCACGATTCCAGATAAATATAACTTATGACGAAGACTGCTTCTTCAGAGGAAGGCTTCCCTTGCCACCCCTCCCTTCTTGTATAATTACCTTGGTCCCGTGTGGGGTAACGCATGAAAGGGGACTTCTCCCTTCCCGTCGTTAATTGCGCGCTTTGAAGTTACAACTTTATGGGTCCCTGCAAATATGTTTTGTAAATTTCCGCGCATAACTAAACTTGCAGACGAGTAACTGAAATAACCACTTTTATTACATTTTAAAGCAAATCTAATTAATTTGAAAGTCTTGAAGTGTACTAAATATAACAAAAAAAATGCACGATAAACACTTGGGCTGCCATGCTGTATGCAAAACAGACATAAATGAATCTCTCTCTCTCTCCATGACTCAATGTGATGGCAATTTAAAATTTTAAAAGTGTTCCAGATAGTGTACTTATGGAAAATAAATCTAGAGCTCAGTGATCAAGTCTTCAATCCAGTTGCACGTAATCGAGTTCCACGTTTGCTTATAATTCGTATGAGGGCGACGTTTCCATGACTTTATAGAGGACTGGGTTATCATCTCATTAGCGCTGATCTGGTTCCGTAGACTAAGGCAGCGGATCGACTCATTTCCAGATTAGACAGTTTTTTTGGCTCTGTCTGATAAAGCTTTAGGACGGCAAAGAGAAGCTATGGAGAAGACGTTGCAGAACCATATATTCAAGAAATAATCACTCATGTAAGGTAGACACCGCCCTTTGTTGAACTGCTGTCAATCTTTGACTCATTCAAATCAAGCTTAAGGTCAGCTCTCTCCAGCGCTTATATTAGGTTTGGGACAGAGTTCACTCGAGGAAAACGTGAAACAATGAATAAAAAATAAATGGTGATTGAAGAACGGCTAGAACAAAAGTCAAGTTTGATCTCAATACTCCATCAATACGGATGTCATCAGATAAAAAACATCAGGGTCAACACAGAAAAAAACAGCATCATCATTCCTTCGAGCAAAGCTGTTGACGAGGACTTGTCCTTCTCTTTTAACTTCTTGGGCATGGTAGTTTCTCTTATCTTGAAAAAGTAGTGGGTAATTTAGATTTTTGCCTTAACGTGGCCGCGGAAACGTTTTTCTGTCGGACAGGTTAGGAAAATTATTCTTGACTCGCGTAATTCTGACGGACGTTTTTAGAAGTTATTCAAGAGGTATATTTGATTATCAAAACATGTGCAAATGTTTGTCCTAAACTAGACAGGTGTAACATGAATCATCGATTCATGCATTCATTTTTGTTTACCTTAAATTATCTAACAAACTTCAATAACATCTTAAATGCTCCATGGCCGTGGGTTATTACATGCATCAACTTATAACCAAAAACTAGAATAGAGCCAGATCTTATAAGTGTGCGTAATGCTGCTTCCAAAAGTATCAAGAGCGAATTTAATATCATGAGGTATGTGAAAGGATACAAAGTTAGGGTTTCAAGATACCATTTCTTAAAACAAGCAGGTTCATGTAAGCAAACTAGCTGTTTACTTTTCTGGAATGCGAAAGAATAAGCGGACCGTAAGACTTGGAAAGTTAGAGACGATAAAATAATACAATTTAGTTCAAATTTCACTGGCTTGTCTTAAATTCAGTTTTATGAACGAAGCCTTCTTTTACCCGTTAACCCTCAAGATCGGGCGTGTGATTCTCTCTTCTACCTACATTAATTCCTTTTAGGTTAACGAGGAGAATTTCTTAAAATATCAATTTTTTATGTCTCTCAGTTTAGTACGTGCGCTATGATTGGTCAATTAAGCCAACCTCGTTCCCAGGGTGCTTTTCCTTTCCAAGAGGGGACCGGCGGGAAAAAAGACCTTTTCCAATTTATCAGGCTGTATTTCACCGTGCGGCCCGCTAGAGTCAAAGTCTGTTTGAATTGGAATTTTCCCCCTCAGTTGAACCAGGAGATTTAGTAAAAATCTTACTTAACTCGTTTTCTCGGTCGGTACTCAGTATAAGTTAAGAACTTTTTATTCGTTCGGATTTATGACCCCCTCGCCTCCCGCTTTGGCCATAAATGCGAGCGAAAAAAGCAGGGCTCTTTAGTTTACTGTACGGAGGTTTGTAAGAGGTCTACATAACACGCTCCCTTCCGGCTGATAAACACACGTTTGTTTATTCTCAACTGAACCTCTTTGCTGGGTCAAAGTGATTTTCCAGTCCTCTCTGGGGGAGGATTGGTGGTCTCCTACCAAGTTCTTATTGATGCTGCCACACAAGGAGTGAAGCCAGCACGTTTCGAGCTCGAGCCGCTCGTACACTCGCTTTGCTCGCCATCTCGAGTTTTGCGAGCTTAGCTCGTGTCGTAGCACTGACGAAAGCCTGGTCGCTACTCATGGAAAGGTCGCTAAGTTTATGTCTATCTACTAAATTATTGAAATCAGGCTACTTTTCAAAGTTTACTTGCGCAGGCTTTCTCCCTATTTACATAAGATATTGAGCTATTAAAAAAGAGGAAAGAACCGAAAATGCCCTATGAATGAGCCATCTCGAACGTACGATGCGATGTCGCGTGTGAACAATGCTTCATTTTGTTGAATTATTTTCATTGAAGCCAGCATACTCTGTATCTCTTTCATTTGTTAAGGGAAGCCATTTCTCAGCAAATCAACTTGTCTTTTAGTTCCAGAAAATCTCTCATCTTGGTCGACCACAAAGTCTTCCAGCACAGTGCATTTATAATGTTCCCAAAATAAATTACCAACACACGGCGACCGAAAAAAGTGCATGTTGTGGTCCATCAATGGAAAATTGTCCTTATGACTTTTTTATAACGTTGATGTAAAACGAGTCAGGCAAGGAGCGTTGTTATTAAAACAACCCCGTACTTCTATCGTCACAAAATGAGAAGAAATGCAATAGTTGTAAACAAGAAAATCATGACAGCTTCAAGCACAGCAGATGAAGGAGAATCTCCCCTTTTTTCCTTCAGTTTCTTAATCATTTTGATGGTTTAGAACGGTAAGTGGCTTGGTTGGCGTAAAACTCAACGTTAACTGCCTTCTACAGAACAACACCTTGAAACTCATAAATTTGTCACAAATTAACAGTATTAACGCCGGACAACCTTACATCAGTATGCATATTCTCCATACTTTTCTCTACATTTCATAGGGACGTGACAAGGAGAATTTGCGTAGCTATCAAGAGCTTCCTGAGTTGGTGATCATTTTCTTTATTCTCGTGACCTTAATGTGTGGTTCAGGGCTAACATTGTGAGGAGAAATTAGATGCTGGTCAATCTAAGGGGTTTAAGGGTTTAATAACTAATGAGTTTGAGTTAATCAATATTTTATTTCTATTGGATGCTGTGCAAAAGTTTGTTTTGAATGTCACTTCCGTTGCCTGAAAAAAAAAAAAGAAAAAAAAGAAAAAAAAAGAAAAGAAAAGCAAAGCAAAAAGAAACTCAGCATGAATCAGGCATTGGAGAGAGGTGCAAAATAATTATCTATTTGCTTATTCCAGAAATTCAGTAAAACAAAGCATGATGATAAACGGCGCGGTGGAAGTAGAGGAGTGAAAAAACGAGGGAGGTCTGGGTCAGATTACCCTCGCTTTCGCTCTGCCGCTACTATCGCACTGTTTATTATTGCGCTCAGTTTTACTACCTGAACGTCTGGAACAAGCTATTTATCTATCTAATGAAGCTATTTCGTATCTTCTTCGTTATGATTCATGTTTGGAAACAAAATGTTAAAACGGATTTTATCATCTGCCACTTATGAATAGAACAACCCGCAACTAAACTGATTATCTTGGAAAGTTTCCAGTTGTCAGTTTAACACTGTAATTCCCAAGATCTGACCAGTACTTCTCCCTTCTAGTCCCTAGACATTCCTCATAAAGTAGAAGAGAGAGTTTTGTGTTTAATCACTGTAATATCCCACAGGTGATTGGTTTGTTTATCCTGTTCAGCTAGTTGATGAGTAATCTGTTTGAGACTAGAAGACGTAATATGTGAATCACTTCTTAACGCCCGCCTTGACTGGTTCTCTTGACAAGCTCCCCATGAAAAGATGAAGTAAAAGTAACGTTTGTGCCAGATTAGGATCTGTCCCGCCCTTCTATTCGTTAGAGTCCAAATCCAGCCTGAAGTGTTGAGAAGAACAAAATGCTTATCTGATTTTGTTAAAACTTTCACAACGACACCGAAAACAAAAATGTTACAATCTTGATCACAAGGGTTAGCATTTTTGCTTATTACGAATTCTGCCCTTTCTGCCAATCCACGTGACGCTAGCTGGACAGTTAAAAGTGTCATACATTTGCAATAGTCCGTTTTACAGTTGCATACTTGGTTGCCAAGCCTTGGGTCAGGAATGAGGCTGAGTGTAACCTTAGGCCTGGCAACTAAGTACACAACTGTTGAACGGCCTTTTCAGGGATTTTCAGCTGTGCAAAGGAGAGTGGAAAGGGAACTGAAAACCATCCAGGTTTCAGGCGAAAAAAAAAATTGTTTTCATAAATTTTCAAACCAAATCTGGTAAGGTTTTGGAAAGGAAAATACTCCTTTGGTAAAACACAAACATGAGAAGAAATAAGGGCAAATAAAGAGTAAATTTCTTCAATTGACTTCAGTACTTATCACATACAAGCGTCGGACCAAATGAGCCTAGCCATAATAACACAAACTAATATATATTCAATGCATAGAAATTCGTATGTTTGTCTAACTATACAAAAATAATTACCCAATTTACCCTTGGGGTAAAGATTATAAGAAAATTTTTCGTACTACATTAACCTCTTTTTACGTCAAAATCTTTTAATGATTTATAATCTCCCGGATATATCAACATGAGAAAATCTTGCGTTGCAGTTACAAAAATCTGCAAGCATATATGGAAACTTGGGTATTTTTCAAATACTTAGCTATGACGACGCTGATGAATAATCTCATTCTGTATGTATAAATTGGGCTACGATTCTACAAAAAAGTGAGTCTTCGCTTTTTCATAACTCATGCTGACGAAAAAATCGTCCTTTGACACGAGGAAGTGTTTTAAGTCTCAAAAAGAAAGGATTGACACGTTTCAGTATGTCCAAAACAAGATAAACGACCTTTGACCCTCGCACCCTTACATCAGAATCCATTTTCTCTATACTGTTCTCTATACATTTCCTTTGGTACGGTCAAGGAGAATTTGTTTAACGATCTAAGCTTCTTAGGTTGGCGATCATTTCCTGTATTCTCATGAACTTAACAAATGATTTAGCAGTAATATTGTCAAGAGAAATTAGATGCTGGTAACTCTTAGGGCTGCTACATACAAAATTGTTGCGTTTTGAAAATTCCAGCGATAAGCGAAGAGTATTGTTCGACGTCTGTAAAGAGAAAATATTGGTCATATCTTGCGAAGGCATTAGAAGAGTCATTTTGCAGTCACAAAAACTAGCGATCAACGAAAATTAAATACAAATTAAATAAGCGTTATAAATACTATACTAAACCCAGACTCGAAGAGTTAATGCGTTACCTACAAAAGAAATTGTATCAAACTTACCCTCATAAAATGTCAACTTGCCAAGCTATACAGAATATAATTATTTCGATTAGGTTTTGCCACAAATTTTACCGGCCACACAAAGTGCAACGCGCAGAATTTACTGGGTAAACAACGAATAAATTTCCTTTAACGAACTTAAACGCAACTAACATAATATAATATAATATAATATAATGTCAGGTCATGGTCTAACCACAAAAATCTGGCAACTAGTTTCCAAGTGTGGTGGTCTCTACATTTTATAGACATCAGGTAACTATCGCCAAGAAAATAACGTCTGGCAACGAGGCAGCTGTGTCTTATTACAACGAGGTTGTCACTTACTGACGTTAAATACTACGACGTCGAAAAAAGACTAGAAGCGAGGCTGTTTAAGCGCCTTGTTTTACCGTGAACACGTGTGACCAGACCATAACCCCCCACCCCTTTACAATACGCAAAAATTGCCAAGTCTGACCCTGCGCAAGCGTTTGATTAGGCAGGCTGAGCTGACGATATACTGCACGAAATGACAGTAAAATGAGGAAAAGGAATTTTAAATCCGGGTCATTTCTTCCCACCCATTTTCTCGAACATAGATTTCATCGCAGAGGTCCGCTGTTGACGCTTCTCCTAAAGAATAAAAAGAAGACGTGAGTTACAACAACGTTCCCAAAAAAAAAAAAAAAACAGAATCAGAGAGGTCACTTGTATGGCTTTTAAATGGTACTCAACTGAACTGAACTTAGAAAACAGCTTGTTGTACTTCGGGACACCTCACCACTAGCCCTTTATGTACTCACAATGGAAAACAATTTAGCTCAGTGATTAAACCCGGCCTGAGGGACTAGGCTTGAACCCGTCACCATTAAGGTTTTGAACAGTACACCAGAGAATAACCACTCACTTGCGAAAGAACAATTCAGCAGCACCTATTTACGTTTGTTTAAGAGTCGAGGGGCAATCAGTACAAAAATAAAATAAAGCGACCCTAGCCGCGGGGGATTGAACACGAACTATTCGGTCTTGAGTCCAAAGCGCAAGCGCAAACCATAAAGTGACTATGCATGTTTCATATTTGGTATTGATTTCCTTATAAACAGCTCAACTTGGTTGAAGAAATACTGACCTTTTCTTCTTTCGCCTTTCTCTTTCTCCCCATTTCTTCTTCAATTTTCCGCTGAAGAGCACAAAGAGAAAAACAAAAATCAATTTTACGTTATACCACCTAACAACAATTCAAAAACCGGCCCTTCTTCAATTTTCGTCTCTGTCTAGAATTCCGTGTCACTCTTTCATCTACAGCCGATAGGATGTCTTAGTCATTTTTTTTTTAAGTATTCTTTTTTTTTTTTTTTCAATCGAAAGGAATCCCACGACAAGCCTACCGGAATATCCACTTGAATCGAAAAACTGCAAATTGATGTCAGTGAGGGGGAATAATTACCCATCTCACAAAGCAGTTAAGAGGCTGATCGAAACCTTTTTGTCAACGCACAATATCTGAATTACTAGAGAACAATTATATTAGTACATAAAAACACAAAAGCAAATATTTAACTGAGTAAAATTTTCTTCACCGACCTGCTGCTCGGATTTATTCGCTTCCTCTTTCTGTTTGATTTCTAACTTGACTCTTTCTCTTTCTTTCTGTAATTCCTCTTCTCTTCTTCTTTCTTCTTCTCTTTCCATCTGCCACACAAAATTTCCTCATTGAACAATATGAGTCGTTAAAACTAGGAACTGGCTCATCGATAACGTATCCAGCTTGATCAACAGTAGAAAAGAGCCACTGTTAACAACAGATATCCTGTGTTTGCTAAGGTCTTCCATTGTAAAACCTGGGTCACATTGCTTTGATAAGATTAAAGGGGCACTTTTCACTCGATTTCTGGTACCAAACGCTATTGCTGAGGAGATGAAAAACTAATACGTCCTTCTCGAAAGCTCAAAATTCTCCTGAATGTTTTTCTTTTCGCCCCGAGTAACCTTAGAATGATACGAAGACTATAAAATACACGTTTCTTCGACGGGAGTGCTTACAACTTCAAACCTCTGTGGGTTTTTTTTTTTTAACACAATAGCTGACAATTTCTTACCTCGATCCTGCTTTTCCTTACTTCCTTTTTGTTGCTAAGACACAAAGAATAAAATCAAGAAATTAAAAGGAATGAAAGGAAGGAGTGATGGATGGAAGGAAAGAATTTTGGGTCATACTAATAACTCAGAAATGCCTTTCAGCCATTTTCCGAGTTAAAAATCAGTGGTGGACTGTAACAACAAATCATAAAGTAACTGGGAGTTGAATTACGCATAAACGTATTTCATAGCGGCGCGTTTTAGAGCGCGCACCAGAATGGCCTAAATTCAAACGTGTTTCAATTGAACAAAGGCAGCCCGGTTAAGATTGGATCCTTCGCCGAAAAAGCGACACGCAGCAAAAGAACTCTCTCAGATGTACTTACATTGCTTCGTTTCCTTCTTGAGACTGTAACATATTCTCCCAATGCGTTGCCATGGAGTGAGTTAGAGAGTCCCGGTTGGACGGTTTTTTAACCTGTAAGATGATGATAAAAAAAACAAAAAAAACAAAACAATTGCAGGTTAGAAACGAATAACACTGACGCGCGATAGCCCTACATACACAGGACGTGTTTAAGAGTTGCTCACTAGCCTGAAAATGAGGCGTGAATAAGGCGATCGAGTATAGAGTATTCTCTAAAATTATAGCTGCCATCTTGGATTTCTATCGCAGCAGAAGGCTTAATAAGACGCCAGCAGTGCAGGCTAGTTACTCACTTGAATTTTGTTGGGGAGTGGATTTCTCTTGATCTCTTTCAAGCTCATCTCTTTCTTATTACTGGCTACTTCGACAACTTTCTTTTTCCCTTCTTCCATTCGATGCCTTTTCTCTGCTTCTGAGGTCTCTTTCTTTACAATTTCTTCACGCATGCGCTGTTCCTCCAGCTCTCTCTGTATCCTCGAATCAGAAAATGTAGGAATACCATCCACACTATCGGTATCATCTCTAATAAAAGAAACTCTTCGTAGGACAACAGGGCCCGCCTTTTTATCCTCGTTTTGTCCCTTTTTCATTGACAAATCTCCAACACTTTTCGCTTTCGTAAGTTTGCCTTCATTCGAAGGAGCTTTCCATCCAACTCGCCGCAACAACTCTTCTTCTCTTTCCATCTGCGCCCGCGTTCCCTTATCGAATGCGTCATCAGCGTATTTCTTACTGACAGATCCTGGCTGCTTACTTTTCACGGAAGCGTCTGTAGCCGAGTTGATTGGCTGACGAGACTGGTCAAGATTGAGCGAATATCGCTTCTTTAGCATCTCCTCTTTGGAATCCTTCCTAACAGCTGCATTTTCAAAGTTAGCTTTTCTAAGTTTGACGCCACTACTGGAAGAGTCGTAGTGACCTTCTGCTGAGGGAGAGAGTTCATCAAGGTCAAATCCTTCTGTAGGGCGTTCAAAGCTTGAAGCTCGTCTTCTCGTAACGGTGATTTCTTGTTTACTTTCTTCCAACGCTTTCAAAACGCGCTGTTCTAAGATCAATTTATGCGCAGCAAACGCCGTCCTCCTGGATTCTATTTCTTTTTCCTGCCCTTTTTGTCTTTCCACTTTATCTTTCTGGCGTTCTTCAGCTTTTATACGTTCTTCCTCACGCTGTTTTTTCTTCTCTTCTTCTTTTTCGAGCTTAACACGCATCAACTCCTCAGCTTCTTTTCGGTCTACTTCTTTTCTTATCTTTTCAAGGTCAGGTTTTTGTGCTTCTCGCCTTTTCTTTTCTTGCTCCTGCATCTGCCGAAAAAGTTCCTTCTCTTCCTCGCATTTCCGTCGTTTTTCCTCTTCTTCTGCGTTTCTTTGCGATTCTTCCTTCTCTGTTCCATTTTCTGCACCCTGTTTAGCATCAACCTGATCGACAGGAGGCGACTGAACAGTTTGTGTGTTCGTTTGCGGGACAACTGGCTCTATCTCCATCTGTTTTTTCGTTGGGGCCGTTTTTCCACCGACACCATTAGACTCAGGACGATACTCTTTCGTTTTCGCGACTTCCTCGACATCTTTACAACTAGTGTCCATCTGTTTCTTCGAATGAATCCTACGGGCGATTTCTGCCTCTCTCCGAAGTTCTTCTTCCCTCTCCTTCTGTCGCTCTATATCCAGCTCAACAAAGCTCTTCCGATTTTCAGCCTTCCGAGTCAGCGTCATCTTTCCGCTTTCTTTGGTACTGCGAATAACCGGCTGTGGTTGGGGTGGAGACTGGGGTTGAGACTGGGGTCGAGACTGGGGTTGAGACTGGGGTTGAGACTGGGGTTGAGACTGGGGTCGAGACTGTGCTTGTGACTGGCGCTGTGTATGCAGCGACTCCTGAGAAGCTCTATTCTCAAGAGGTGGTTTCCTGACGTCATTATGAACACTGTCATCGCCTTCACTCAAATCAATGACACTACCGCGTTTGGACGAGATCCTTAGCCCTTGTGTATCACTACCATCTATTAAGTCCTTTTTCTCATCGAATATTGGTTTTTGCACGAGATCTTTGTTGTGAAAAGCCGAAGGATGCTCTTCCTTTTTGGCATGCTTTGATTTCTGCTTTTCTACTTCAAGCCTTTCTTTTTCCTTAATCTTTTCGTTTTCCATACGCATCAACTCCTCGCGTACTCTTTGCTGTTCAAGCTCCTCCTCAATTATTTTTCCTGCTTCTCTTCTTGACAGGGGAGCTTTCTTCAGTTCCTGTTTCTCTTGCGTTAAAGCCGTTTGCTTTTCGAGTCTCTGTCTCTCTTCTTCAAACTTTGCCTTTCTTTGGTCTGCCATCTTTTTGTGCTCCTCTTCCTGCTTGTTACGCTCTTCACGAGCTTTCTTGCGCATTTCATCATCTATCTCTCTCTGTTTGGCTATCTCTTCATCCTTTCTCTTTTTCTCTTCCATAACGAAGGGAATGAGTTCATCTTGCGTCAAACTGCGCAGTGAAGTTCCTCCTCCATTACTGATTTGGATATCTTTCTCGTTTCTGAAAAAAAAAAATCAATCAATCATTAACAATCAATAGTCATAACTACAGCGAATGTCCCCATGATCAGAATCTTGGTGATCCTGGACTACTCTTTAATCTTTTGACCCCAAGAGCAAATAGTTGTTTTAGTATATACTAAAACAGTGAGATAATATACATCACCTTCGTTAATTTGAGTGATTTCTTCGCTTGTCACGGATGCAAACTGGGACGCCATTTTTTCCCGAGTTGCTCGGAGGTAAAGAGCAAAGGAGTTTGACTAGCCAATCAGAGCGCGCCTTCAACGCTATCCCCTGTTTTAGTATATACCAACATCTAATATCACCTCTGAATCAAACAATAAGGTCACGAGAATAAAGGAAATGATCAGAAACTGAGAAAATCTCCTTGTCAGCACCTTAAGGAATGTATAGAGAAGACTATGAAGAATATGCATGCTTGTGTTAAGGTGTAAAAGGTGAACTTCATACTTGGGTCAGGCCTCTGAATTTGGACTTCAGAGACTAGACCAATACAAGTAACCACAACCATAACTGAGCTTGTTTTACACCTCTCCGCTTGCCCTCTACCCCACACGCACGCACGCACGCAACGCACGCACGCGCACACACACATTGCATAGTCTCACAAAATCCCCAATAAGACTTCTTAACGCTTTGATTTCTTTCGCCCTTTCACTTCCAGGAGCAAGTTATAAATGTACCTAATTTCTCAAGATGCACGGTACGTCATCAGCTCCATTGCAGTCTCCGCTCAAAATAGACAAAATATACAAGACTATACCTGACTAGGTTTCCATTGTCCTCTTCCAGCCTTAAAAGCAAGCCATTCATTCTAGATGCGGCCGATGACTCAGCCGAAGGTGCTGTGACAACATCAATCGTTTCCTCTAATGGGGTTTGAAGTGAACCTTGTGTTGTTGGTTTGCTTTTTAACTCTCCAGCATCGAGCCTTAACGCCTCTTTTTCACTGTCCGTTGTACAAAGGCCATTTTGTGTTGCCATCCTTAATGCCCCTGTCTTCTCATCGTCTGTTTTGTTTTCATTCATTGTGTTTTCCTCACCGCAGCCGTCTTCAATAGTGTTTGAGTATAATTCTCGTTGTTGTGTTGATTCGGAGGCGGTGCCACCGTTTACTGTGGGCTGTAGATTGCTTGGTGACGAGTCGTTTGTTATAAAGTTCAACTGTTTGTCCTACAAAGTGAAATAAAAATGTGAGATCAATGATTATCTAAGAGTTAGAACATGAGCTCCAGATTTCTATCGCTTAACAACAAGACAGACTCATACGCAAGTCACTTTATTCAAAGTCTATCATAAAATAGATAGCAAGCAGCTTTGCCAATCAGATTACAACATTTCTGACAGAACGCAATTCGATTTTTATTGCTTTAATGTGGTCTTAACTTTGGTCTCCAAAAAAAAAGCGCTGTAGTTTTGACAGAACTCAGGCCCATTCAGTTCTGAAGAAAAGCATACAACTTTTATCGATCATTCTTATTGGCTCTCTAGGAACCTCATAAATAAAAGTCACTGAGTGGCCACCAAGACACTTTGCGTCGATGACTCTGGCTGACTGCTGACGTAAGAAGGCACTTATGTGAACTTCAATGCCGGACGCCCGAAGAGTTCGCATCTTTCCCTCAAAGCAATATGTCAACCACTGATACCTCACTTCTTTTAGTTCTATTACTATCGAATCCACTGAGTAGTTATGGTCGAACTTTATGCGACGCCCGCATAAAGTTCGACCGATCCCTCTCACTCTTGGTTTCCATCAAATTTGATACTTGACTGACTCTCAAGAACAAAATCAGTCACTGAGTCTCAACATGTTCATAAAGAGATGCTCAGCAATTGCTATGCCAACATCAGCTTTGCTGACATTTATCAAAATAACCGGACTCCAGGGTTCATTGCTCCCACGCATGAAAGTGAAAATCCCAATCCCTTTCATTCACAAGGGTACGCCTTCGCACGGAAACAAAAGGGCAAAAAGGATTAAAAGGGCTTATATCACTCTAAAAAATCCGACTCCTGACAAAGACCCTTTCGAGTACGTAATTAGAATGTGTGCAACTGATCTAAGATACAATGTAAGATACAGAAGGGTCCCCAATTAAGAATATTTTGTTTTTACGTAAAACACATTGAAAATATTGATCCTCCGTAGCTGGAAAAAAAATTCTTTACTATAATTAGCCTTAAAGAAATTTTGAACAGCAGTTAGAAATAATTGCGAGTTTGGCATTAATCTTGCAATGTTTGTAATAGATATGAAATGGAAACTAACACGTATACGAACGTCAGCGATGGTTCACATCAACACACAAGCAGCGATATTGCGTATTTAAGTAAACCTCCTACATCCTCCTACATGTTGGAAGTCCTTCCAAATACCCTTTACGGCGCCGAATTCCGTGGGAACTCAGATAAAATTGCAGCAAAAAATGACATGGCGAAAGAGCGAAATTCTTCGCTCGCCTGAACAAAACAGAAATAAGCTTTTTATTCAGTCTCTTCCCACAGTGAAGGTTTGCTTACCTCGTCAACATGAGCAAGACCTTTCTTTTTCACTGTTTTATCACCTTCCTCTGCACTTTCTTCGTTTCTCGACTTATGACGTTCAGTTCTATTCTCGCCGTCTTCGTTTTCGTTGTTATTGGAGTAAACAGAATGCGATGTTTTCGCATCTAATTTATTTTCGAAACCGTTGGTGGCCGGAGACGTCGATCCTGAAGACAGCTCGAAGGAATCAGAGCTACAAGACTGATGGTTGTGGTTCAACTCGATCGTAATTCTCCCAGACTGATCCTGGCGGATATTAGTGGGTGACGTAGTTATTGAGGGTTCTGATGATATTGTAGCACCAAAATCTGTCCACACAACAAAAGAAACAAAAAGTTGCTCACTGGCTATTTATGGTGGGAAAAAGTGTAATGCAACATCGTCACGCAATACTGGCTATACAAAGAAAATTTATGCCTTACGTCGGTTACAGACTACAACGACATGAAACTGAAGAGGAAAACAAAATAGACAAAGAAACACGAAAAAGACATTGATTGGTTGGAACTGGAGATAATTTAAATGGTTTGTAGCAGCCAATAATTTTAATACATCAGTAGATGCTAAAAGTTCGGAAGTGAAAAGTTGAAAGCGTCCATGACATTGTTCCCTGTACGAACGTGAGCGTGTCAAAAAACCGCAAAAAGCCCTTCCGATTTTAGAACAACCACAAAGGATTATCGATGCTGATTTCAACAATATGAAATACAAGGTTCCAACGACGGACACATTTTATTTTATCAAATTTGTGGCCAAACGTAGAGTTTAGATGAGCCATAACAAGGAGAGTAGTTTCTATGAGAGAAAACTGTTATCCGCGAAAAATTTGATAACAACAAAATTACCCCCGATTCAGATTAAATTGCATTTCACTGACCCCATAATTTCTCCGGCATTGTCACAAATTATCTCGGCTTTTAATAGTGAAATCGAGTGCCTATCATGACAAATTGAAACATTCGCTTGTCAAAAACTCTGTCGAAATGGTTAATTAAACGCATTCGGTTTTCATTGCCCCTCACAACTTAAATATATAAATAACCGAAAGCAGTTGACAGCTTGCTATCGGACGATAAATTAGTGAGATCGATTCCCTATTTGCAGCGTAAACAGGACTGAAATTTCTCAATCGAATGGAATTTACAAGGATTCAAAGCTTCAAATTTATTCTTGTACCTGAATTTACACAATCAAATAAACTATTCTGGAGTAAACGGAGCATCTAGATAAACTGAAATTCTTTGAAAAAGCACAGGTCAACAAAATAAATATAAGAAGAAAATTAAAAGTGATGTTAGCTACCAAATTCATCTAACATAATGATGGAAATGTCGAGAAACAGACGTATTGCCGAGAGAGAATTCTGTAAATTAGAAAACTTCTATTCACCTGAAACTTATGGAAATTCAGAAATTTCCAGAAGTTTAACGACAAAGAAAGGTTGATTATTATGGTAGGAAATGTATTTTATTTAATGGTGACTGAACATGTCACAATCGCACGTTGATCGGTTTTTCTAGCAATTTGGGGTAAATTTTGCAACGGCATTTACAAGAAAGCGCGTGTCGTATTTCGGTTTTCGATAAACAGGTTTAAAGATTTCGTTTCGCTTTGAAATTAGGTAAAAACTGATGAAAAAATGGAAAACGACATTTCTGTTTTGGAAATACGAAGTTCTACTTACCAAAAGTACATAAAACAAACCGCAAATATGCATTACAAGATACAGAGGTGCTTAGACTCGGTGTAAAATGCTTTTCGATTTGACGAACGCGAATTAATGTTTTTTAGAATTTCGAAGATGAAATCAGAGAGAATACTTATATCGCTCGGGAAAGTTCTGCTTATAAATGCAGCCAGCGAACGAACGAAACCTGGTAAAAATGGCTACCCTACTGTGTTTACCAAATCGATCGACTCCTTTTAAGTTTTCAAAATCGCATTGGCCAAACGATTATTTAACATTACGACAACTACAGAGATTTTTACATAGGGAAAGGTATAATTAGCGGGATTAAAAAAGACAATTTTTACTTAACAGTCACGCAAATGAACTACAAAAGAGGTTTTACCTTTCAGGTCGCCATCTTCTATCCACAGTTTTAGTATTTCTTCATCTCCTTTGTCACCAACAGTTGCTCTATACTTCTTGGAAGCTCCGCGGAAAATATCTTCACCAGTGGGTTGGCGTTTGAGCAGAAAACTTCGGTCAAACGGCTTGAAGCTCTCTCGCTTCGATTTGTCGTTAAGCTTTTGCAACGCCTGCAAGAAAATGTAAATTAGTTAACCCTCTGGGAGATGCTAATGTTGTACAGTGTTGTCAGATACGCTTCGGCGCCCAAGCGTTGCTCACTGCTTGATGAGAGAATGTAAACAACACAATACTTCAAACAGACCGAACAAGACAGAATTTCTGATAGAAATATAGAACGTTCGATTCAACTCCATTTTAAACTCGTAAGGGTAATTCATTCATGCAAATTACCAGACAACTGCTGTTTCTCAATAACAGTTACATTAAAGTCTTGACAGATTCGCCATCACGAGTAGCAATGCATTAATCCGTCATCGAAAATGGATGAAATCTCTCCAAGCCGGCACAAAAAAATACAAAGTGGGAGACTCTTTTGCTGTTCTTGTTGCTTATTTTGAATTCTAAACAGCGACTGTTTAGACTGTCAAAATTCATACTGTGCAGAAACGGTTTTCATCCACTACTTTGGATAATGTGTCCCAAGTGATCTGATTACTAATTCTCCCTTTATGTTGTATCACAGTTCTTAGTAGTTTGGTTAGGAGAATTAAGTGCTTTATCAAGGCAACATCCCACAGCTAATAAGTTTACATTTTCTCATCACCCGTTTGGTGGAAAACGTATCGAAATTACGAAGAGAAGTTATAAATTTTCGCAACCGCGGCTTGAAGGTTCAACGGCAGGTAGCCTTTGATATACGTCAAGTTCACTATCAATTTCGAACTTGCCCACGAAAAGAAGTTTATTAATTTGTTGCAGTTTGCGGGTAAAATATGTCAAGGCATATACGGATGTAGTTGGGGAAACTTGCGGATCGAAAATACTCGACTGACTGAGAAAGATGAAAATTAAGAATTGTGCGCGAATTATGTGACAAAAAAAATTACAAAAACAAAAATAATCCAAAATACGTAAGTGTTTTTTAAACAACAGGGTTTAGTTTTGGACATAGATTTCTCTTTCTAACCGATGTGGTGAGCTGTTTGTTTCAAGTTTCCTCCTTAAACATTCATGGATTTTTCAAAACGGTATTTTTTCATTTCTTACCTCTTTGGCGTTTTCCTATCCAAGTCGGCAAACTATTCGTTCAGTTTTTTTTTCCTTTATAAAACGAAACTGTCTACGCCTCAGGATATCTACCTAACTTTCTGCGAGGAAAGACAATTGGCTCCTTTAAAAGGTGGAAGAATATCTCCAGTGATGTCCTCTCACTTAGATGCACAAACTAAAAGAATGTAAAGTACTTATTCTGTCTTCTATGAGAGAAAACAATCACCCGTCTTTTTAAAGCCTTGGGTGTTCAGCGCACGTGCAGTGCTGTTGGCGTGTCCATTAAACCTTTTGTTTAGTGAAATTCTCTTTGTCGTTGACATTCAGCTTTGTAACTTGCGTCGAGTGACCAAATTCGCACTGTTTTGAGTCGCAATGCATGGCAGTGAATACCTTCAACGATTCTCTTTCAGTTAGAGTTTGCAATCACTTGACAGACTATTGCGTGATTCCGGCAGGATCAACTTTAAATTGCACGTGCAGTAATCAAGTGTCGATGACCCACAGGTGATGTGGCTTATGCGGAGAATTATGAATGGCGCAAAATTAACGCTGAATGCCGCAATCCATGGGACACTACGAGTCCTAATCCCATTTTTTTTCACACTTCTAATGTGACACATTCTCTACGACAACAGCAGATAAACTGGAGTATCAAGAAAAACCAAAAACAAACAAAAGAAAAAAACGAAGTGTGCAAAGCAAAGAAGACTGAAGCAAGTTTACAACCGGAGCGTCCGAGACTTGTCAATGATTATTAAGAAAAAGAAAACGATTGAAATAAACTCTTACCCGTCTCAGCTCATTTTCCTCTTTTTCCAAAACGTAAACTTGTCTTTCAACTTGATCCAGTTCGTCCTGTATCTTCTGGGACATCGCCTCCTCTTCCAAATCACCAGCTATTTCGTGGCAGAGTTTTTCCTAAATGAGAAACGATATGGTGTTAAGTGGAAACGAAATAAGAGCAGTAACCAAAAAACCAGACACGAGTGATTTATAATGGTAATTGAACTGAGTGGAGTGCAATTTGGGCTGAAATCATACGCGTGATTTCAATACGCGTGATTTCATACGCGTGATTACCACTTTATAACATCCATTTTGAAATCGCCCAAATACAAGACTTGGTCAATTCAAATATTTTACTGATGCATTACTGAGCCGGTTTTTAACTAAAAAGCGGAACCGGAAACGCTTGTACATCTTAATTTGTATGCAAAACAGAAAGACTTTGACGTCATGTGTCAAAAACTCAGTCAAGCGTAAAATGATGCGATTTGAGCAAAAAAATGGTGCGATTTGTGAATAAATCGCACCAAATTAGAGCCATTCAGATTACAGGGACCACCACTGATTTCAAAATGGATGTAAAAAAAAATCAAAGTGATTTTGTAAATGACGCTTTTACAATGCTAATCCCGCTCGTTGGATATGAACCTAGTGTTCTCTGCGGCTAGGCCTGCATGCAGCCTCGTACAGGCGCTGCAAAACTAGGGACGAGGTTTGCGCGTCCAAGGCCGACGAGTGATGCGCGCAGTCCGCGAGGGTTCTGGCTCTAAAAAATTTTGTGGCCAAATTCTCAGAGCTAAAAAAATATAAATATAAGGCGGAAGGTGTAGTAAAATGATATTTCAATCTTGGTAATGAGAGGGCTACTGTATGCCCATACCTTTACTGAAAGAAGTTTCCGTTTCTCAGTTTGGACTTCAGCAAGTCTGCGAAAGGAAAGGCAAATACGCCAGTTAGTTGACCACAGCTAATTCAACCTCCTGCTTAAAATTTTTGTCTTAAGTTTCCTCGTAAAAACCTAAATCTTTAAGGGGCTTAGCGAGAGGACTAGAAGCTCAGTACGACAACATCATATATCGCTGATAAATATATGTAGCTTCGCAGTAACATCTTGTATTTTACTTAAGCTGTTAACACCCTTTAACCCTCCCAAGATCTTCTTAGCAATTCCCCTTACTGTCTGTTATATTATTCTTATGATGCAAGTTGGAGAATTTGGAATTGAATCAACTAATAGTCCCCTAATTGATATTTCTTTTTATTCTCATTACTTGTCTGCCTGACATTGTATTGCTATTGTTAGGAGAAAAACTGCCTTGGTCATTTATGGACGTTAGAGGGTTCGTGCAGATTCTTTGACTCGTGCGAGTTGATATTTGAGAAAAAAAAAAAAAAGGACTTTGTAACAATCATGACCTTACAGTGTTATTACGTCTCCTGACTGTTTCGATATGCAAGATGGGAATAGCAGGGTTGGTACACTTTTTCAGGCCAAAGATTCAAGGACTTTTCAAGGACTTTCCAGGACCCTACTTAGAAATTTCAAGGACTTTTTGTAATGACAATTTTACCTCAAAACCAAGAAAAATGTTTCTGTTAACATCTATGTTTTGGGTTTACCGATGGTGCAAAACAAAAGCAGATATTTTTCGATGTTGTTCAATAAAAAATCAAGGACTTTCAAGGACCCAAAACGAAATTCAAGTACTTTCAAGGCCTTGAAATCGGCCTCCTGAAATTCAAGGGTTTTCAAGACGCGTACGAACCCTGGAATAGTTTCTTTTTCAAATGTATTCATTTTGTACTTAAACGAGAGAATCCGATAGAGCAGTTTTCAATTAAGCGTCAAAAGTAATACGGTATAGCATTTTTTTTTTTGCACAAAAGTCTCGTAACCAATTTACAGGGAAATGTGTAGCAGCTAGAGGGGAGAATTCACGATCTGATCTTAGGAGTTTAAGGGCTAATTCTGGGTTCTTTATAACTAAGATTTGAGACCATAATAGTGTGAACTAACCTCAGTTTTTTGCTGTCGTAACATTCCTCTGTCAGCTGCGCAATTGCAAAGTAGCACAGAGTGAGTCAATCAATAACAATTGGATCTTAAAGCCAATTACAAGATTTTTTCATTTTAACGGCAAAACCACCAATGAAAAAGTACTAAACCATTTCTTTACCTGTTCTGATAGAATTGACCTTACATTTACATTCCCCTCAATGGAGTTACCTACAGAAAACAATGAACAGTAATAATTATTGATACTTTCTAATACAACAGCTGCTCTTCATTAATTGCTATCATGAAGTAAAAGGTTTGAACCCAGGAATGACACTTCATCATAGAGTCACATCATATGGGTGAGAGGACCAGCTGGAAAGAACTGTTGTGTTGCTAGTCACAGTGACTGATTTCTCCCCCGCCCCCTGCCCCCAGCATTTGATCAGGCTACCCTAACAATTCTGCAGTACAGGTCTCAAGCCCAGATTTCTCAACCCAGAGTCCAGCACACTGACCAACAGACCACCACCTTCCCCATGAGTTTGAAGATGACCCCCTCTCAAATTGTCGAGATGGTAGTCACTGCTAGGAACATCAAACCTTTTCAGAAATATTACGACCACAGCATGATCACACGTTAAAATCAGTTCAGGTATCTTAGCAATTCCAATAAAATGCAGGCAGCAAGCAGAGGTGAAAATACCCCTGAAATCAGTAATGCCCCATCCCTGATTTTGACACATCTTGAGTATTCGTGACTATTCTACCAGTCTAAACTCCTAGAGCTGGTTACTTACAGGAAGACAGTATGTCTAGGATATTAATTTGAGTAGGGGTATATACATCACTGGGTTAAAAAGATGAGCCTCCTCTCCCCTCCCCCCCCCCTCCAACACTGTTTAAAAGGCACTCTGCTGCTTCTGGTCCTCATGGATTAACCGTGACACTCTGTCAACCTACTAACCCTACCCCTCTTGGGTCAAATCTCCTTACTGAATTTGAACAGTGAAAACCAAACTACTTTCTTATTCAGGTATACTTTTCTAGTAAATGACAGTATGTGCGTACCTTTCTTGCAGAATCGTGTTAAATGCAGGGTTATAATAAATTCTTCAAGAGAGAGTTTTCCATCCCTATCAATGTCAGACAAATTCCTGTGGAATGGATAAATTAATTAGTAACAATGATCAATATTAGATACAACATTTAGTCAAAAAAATAGAATTAATTCAGGCCTCTAATTACCTCCAAGAACACTCATAAATACATCTGAATTTCTCTTTTCACCACCATTATTATTGGTACAATACAATTCATAATTATCACTGAAAATTTTTTGCTTTTGAAATTCAAGCAAACATGGTCTTATAGATTAAAGGGAATTGTCTTACAAAGACTTGGTATCTTAATTCAGTTCAATATATCTGTTAATAATTTAACCCTTTAACTGCCATGAGTGACCGAGACAAAATTTCTCATTACAATATCAATACAATATCAAGCAAACAAAAAATGAGAATAAAGAAAATTAGTATAATTTCAGAGCTGAGCAAAGAGTTTCCAGTAATCTGATTGGTCGAGCCGTTCTTTATAAGACGCTATATAAACTGCTCCACGCAGTTTATATAAAATGTTAAAATAAAATGTTAATAAATGTTACTAAAATGTTATGATTTTAGAAATTTCTCTGTTGTTCAGCTCTGAAATTATACTAAAACAATTATTCGCCTCAGGTTCAGTGAATATTGTCAAATAATCTCCTTGACTTCGTCTCGGGGATTATTCAATGATATTCACTGAACCTGAGGTGAATAATTGTTAAATATCAATTAGGGATTATTAATTATTTTATCAAATACCAAATTCTCCAAACCCACATCATAATAGTTGTATGGCAGACAGTAAGGAGAATTAAAAATGAGATCTTGAGAGTGAAAGGGGTTTAAGGGTCCCTTTTAAAGCAGCCATTAGTAAATGTTTTACCTAAAATTGATTACTTATCCTTTTCTCTGAACTAGATCTAAAATTGTATTTGGCCAAAATGTTCCAAAGATGTAATTAACAAGAAGCTATTATTGTTCTAAACTGACCAAATTCTTGCTAAAATGTCCTCTGGAAGGCCTGATCCAATGAGAACAGAACAAGCACTTTCAGCTATAAAATAAGACATTATTATTAATTCTCCAAGGTCCATCAGATCAACAAAATCAATAGCTTCCATGTTACTGTGCATCTGTTCACCAATAGATCACAGATGATGTCAAAATGGGGTAAGAACAAATTGTTTCTCAGTGGTAATGCAGCCCACACACCCAGCACTAACTGGATCGGGCATAAGTTCTGATTTTAATTGGGAGCTCTCTAATTTTTTTTTCCGGAATACAACTACGTAAATGATAGAAAAATGAGAATCATCTGAATTTCTTAGATTCAAGCGTCATCATAGGCACAATTACCAGCTGCTGTGTGGGAATATAAGCCTGCACTCTTCCCTTGAACTGGGGAGGAGTGAAGACTGGACATGAGATAGCGGCAGAAATCGAGCCTAGTGTCGTCATGTGGGACAGTAAAAATGTGTGAGTCCTTGCCAGATACTGATTTCAATTTCACTTCTGGACTGAGAATTTAAGGCAAGATACTGACCATAAATTACAAAAATTATCCATAAAAAGTTTAAAAATTTTAAGTAAAACTTAACAAGGTCTTACCATCAATATAACCTGTCTTATGACCGTTTTTCCACCTGAAAGCTCTTTCATATGCTGTTTTTTCCTCCTCAGATACAACAGGAATGCTTACATGAGGTAGATGCTTTGGAGTTAAGGTGTCTGGCAGCTTGAGGGGAATATCTGTGCCTTTTAGACGGCTTTGAATAAGATGCATTGCCACAGCAAACTCAGCAATGTCTAACTTGTTGTTCCGTGAAACATCAGCAAGTTTCCTATAACAAAAAATTTATACAAGTCAGCCATCTGTTATCATAACTCAAAACCCTTCATATGCAGGGGTTTCATTAAGGGCCAGGCACTGGGCAAATTGAGCCGTTGTAAGGAAAATTTTGCCCACCGAGTTTGATCATCTAGAGGAAAGTTTATCTTATAAAGAAGTTCAGTTCAAAAAGTTTTGCCCACCTGTGAGCACCCCTCACCCTCCTGCTGAAAACATTAATGAAACCCCTGATCCACATGTATGTGCTGTTGTTCAAAACAAACTTTTTCACTGCATTTCAGTACTAATAATTGTGCAATCACCTCGGAATAAATAACTCAATTTGTTTTTTTTTCTTTGCGATCTGATCTAGAAGGGCTATCCAGGAGTTTCAATAACTTTTAACCTATGAGGCAGCTGATAGTGTAATGGGAGTGGGGGGGGGGAGGGACTCATGGAGTAAGGTGAAATCCAAACACAAGAGTCCACTCATGGGCTCAACCCATTCACTCCCAAAAGTGATTAACGAGTAACTTCTCCCTATAATACACATACATTCTCCGGAAAACAGGTAATGAGAGTACTCAGACTTATCAGGTATAAGTTGTTATCTTGATCTAACACCACATTAATTTTTCCTAACTACTCTGCAAGAAAATGTGTAGCAGCTAGAGTTGAGAATTAACAGTCAGATCTTGGGTAGTAGACTGCTGGTAAACAGCTTTTATTGAAACCCCTGCCGGACTATCCCTCTTTCATGGGTTTCTATCATTGATGAGAAAAAAATGAAAAACCTGGTAAACTATCAATTCACGAAGAAAAGGAGAATAAGCAATGCAGAAAAATGTCTGGATGAACATTTCATAGGGATTTTACTAATAAAAAAAAAAACATTTCATCAAAAATTATATAATAGTTTTAGAATTGTGGGTACATAGAGAAAGAGATACACAAAAAAAAAGGACTCTGTGAAAGGGAGATTGTGTGTTTTGGTTTCTATCCACTGCAGTTTGTTTTTCTTCTTTTAACTTGGTTTTCAGTTTTGATTTTCTGAACACCATCATTTCAACTATTTTTGGTTCATTGCTCTTCACAGTTGTTCAGTTAGAAGCCATGTTTAATTCAACAATGGCAATTTAGGCTTGTTTTCAGGTCTTATATGGGTTTAAATGTCCCATCCTTTGTGCCTTGTAATATGCACTACCAATAATCTCACGAAAACTTTTTAAGTTTAAGTTTTAAACTCAATTTCGAGAGGTAGTGACCAAAGAGAGGTGGCCATGCAGTGGGACGAGAAGGTGTAAACAAAGCTCTTACTAGTCGCAGTCTAAGATTTTCATATTTCATTTACATTCTATTTTTAAAAATAGTTTGCTTTAAGTCCATGATCGTTTTTATTTCAATGGCTTATAAGATTCCAAACCATAAAGACTAGTGATACACCACTCATCATGAAATCTAACAAAGCAAGCCATGATCGAACAGATGTTACCGAAAATTTTCCGCTTTACATCTGCAGTTGGAAAACCTCTTCGAGAAATGTTGTCTGACCAAATCTAAATATTTTCCCACGATTTTTACGCTTCAGTGTACTGTGAAAGGGTGCATAATAACAGGGTTCTTAACCCCTATCTTTAAGGTTAAGCCCCTCCCTATGCAAAGCGATTCTCTTTTTATCATTACAATTTTGTTTCATTAAAGATAAAACATCTAAAACAACTTGCGCTAACAGATTTTCCAACACATCCACCATTACAATGCGTAGGCGACGTTTGTTGAATCATAAATTAGTCACTCTAGTAGTTACAAACAAAGCCACATTAGAATTGTAGCCGTGAAAGAAATAACTAAAACACTTTTGTATTCAAAACAAACTGTTAACGTATTCTGTTGATTCGTATGATTGAACACAGAACAACTTCTGCTGCGCCAATTGCACCGACATCACAGCTTGCTGTAACCAGGATACACATAACAACGCTTAGAGGCCGTCCTATATTGAAAGAGGATCGCACAACCGCGGTGGTTAAGAAATTTAAGATCACAAATTTGGTAACCCGGAGGAAAATTTAGCGCGAGGGAACGCGACAAATCGATTACCAAAAGTATACCCATTAAAGTTTTCCTTACCATATTTTGCTCAGCTCTGGTAGAGGCAGTTTGGATCTTATAAATAAAGACCTGGCTTGCTCTCCTGCAATATAAAAATATTTGTACAATTGAGTGTCGCAAGGTACAAATATCCGCCATGGCTCTAGGCACTATATCTCTAGCGCTCACCTGATAAGAATCGTTCTTGAGGTTTTTGGCTGTAAAACAAGGCATCGTGGCGACTTCTTTCCTCCTCGGATATCGTCCACTTCAAATCCATCTCAGGCTGAAGAAGCGACCTACAATTCAAGGGAGAATACCCATCAACATGTCGTTCGGAGCTTTCATTAATACGACCTTAGGCAGTCAAACTGTTCATCAGACTTCGAACTTTAGCGCGTCGTCTCTACGAAAATTCCAAAACGTTTGCATCACCTTTGAAAAATACGCACTAGTTAAATTAACAAATGTGGAAAATATATTTGTTTCAGAGTTCTCATGTTGACGATTTTCAGCCCGCCATATTTATTCTAATTTTGATGTCATGCCAAGATTCCTTATAGATGACAGTCACGGCCAGAACGCTTGACTGGGTTCCATGTGCGCGCGTTCATAATGCTCTCTATGGAAACCGATTTTTAATTTTTAGGCATTTTTCTCAAATTTTTCCTCAGCACTTACTGTAACGTATTTTCCTTAGAAATTTTTTGCTAAATTGAGAACTTTTCCCGTAACTAATCCTCCATGGTTCTATTTGTTCTCCATTTATCGCAATTCTATATGTTATCAATTAAAAGAAACACCTGCAGCAAGCCTGTTTTTTCTTTTTTTACAGACGGTAAATTCCATCTTTCCCAGAAATTTCAACTGTCAAATTCTTTAAATATAGTGAAGTATTCAGCACCCAATCTCTTAATTAGGCTTGATCAGTACTTTTATCTATCCATTTAAGAATTACCTCTAAATTTATACATATCGTTACTTTTAAATTATCCTTTCACATTTGTTATTATACAATACTAATTTCATCGTGACCATTATAAATTTATAAAATTAGCTAAGAGCTACGATCATATATGAGTCGCTATGATCAATACATACCAGTGTATGCTTAAAATCATCATTCTTTATACCGTCTAGGTTCCAAGGCTTAACTATATTTCCGGTGAATACAATGCTCTTTAAAAAAATCAGACTGAGAGAATCAAGTGTGAGAGACTAGAGCTGAGTAACTATAACAATGGTGGATTTTTGTTTAAAGTAGTTTGTCGGATTTTGGTATAAACGATCGTTTGCAGGACAGTTTGTGCGATCAGCGAGCTTAACTCTTGAAAACTTTATTCTGACAATGCTTCTAAAAATTGTTGGTTTGCAGTATAAATACCAGCGCCCAGCGTAGAGTTCCTTTGCTGAATATTACGTACAAGTACCTCTCTCGTCCACTCTCATACCCCATAAAGTGAACCTCCCCCTACCCCTGCCAATATCTGGAAAGAACTGGTCAGCTGACTCGCAGAAAAAGCACGTGGGCCAACTTTCAACATGGCGGACGTCCAGAAGGAAACTTCAGAACGGGTGAGAGAAATCAAAGAGAAAACTGAAGCTATTCTAGAGAGTGATACCAATTCAAACTTAATTGTGGATATCCTGGAACTATCAGAAACCCAAGACGAGAAGGTTCTGGTGGTATTCATAAGATCAGCTCACAAAATCTTTACAAACTTCTCATCGCGTGGAAAGCTGTTTCGATCGTGTAAACAAAAGCGTTCATCTGTAGAAGAAGCCAGTCAAGATCCTCAAGATATTTTTAGATCCTGGCTTCACGATAATTATTTGTTGACCTTGACACGGCTCCTGTATTTGCTTCGTGTCGGATCACAGAAGGTAAAGGAGTTTGCCCTTTGTACGCTAATGAAGTTTCTTGTGGAGGAAGCAAAACACGACAGGAATTCGAAGGCTACTGATATATTTCCCACAGTTCTATTTAAGAAAACTTGTGATGCGTTATTTGATGGCCGGTATAGCATGAAGAACTGCATCGAGAGGTTTGCTGAGTACTTAGAATACGACGATGTCAGGTTTTTCGTGCTCAAAAATCTGGCTAAAGTCCTCGGAAACGCTTCTAGTAGCGAGGAAAGTCAGCTTCGCTTTCTCGCTGAAAATGCATTTGCAATGCTGAGCCAGGTGAAAATGAAGAAGAAAAACGAGGATCTGAACAGTCTTTTGATCGAAGTGAAGCAACAAAAAAAGGGAAATAGTGAGGGGAATGAATACAGCTTTCTGGAGTTGAAGAATCATCAAAAAGTCTTTAGTTTTGCCTGGCTGGCGCTACTTAGGCTCCCATTGTCATCTGAAGTTCATAAGAAGGTTTTACTCAACTTACACACAGATGTGTTGCCACACATGACAGATCCAAAATTGTTGATGGATTTTCTCACTGACTCATACAACATTGGTGGTGTAACAAGCCTTTTGGCCCTCAACAGCCTTTTTGTTCTCATCCACAAGTATAATTTGGACTATCCAGACTTTTTTAAGAAACTTTATGCATTGTTTGAACCAAACATCTTCTATTTGAAGTACCAAGCAAGGTTCTTCCACTTGGCAGACTTGTTTCTGTTGTCTACCCATCTTCCAGCTTACCTGGTAGCAGCCTTTGTCAAAAGGTTGTCACGTCTTGCCTTATCAGCACCCCCATCTGGTGCAATGTTGGCCGTACCTTTTGTCTGCAATCTCATTAAACGACATCCAAGTGTTGCAGTTCTTATCCATCGCAAACAAGTAAGTTAGAATAATAACATATTTCAATTGATTATTTTAAAATGGAGACCATAGAAATCACAAAAGCCATCTGATCACAAGGAAGGTTAGCATCACATTTAGAAGAGGGGCTAATGCTGGAAACCGCCTCCCAGTTAGCTCATTTGGTAGAGCGCTGGACTGTTGTGCGGGAGGTTGTGAGTTCAAATCCAGCTGGACCAACACTCAGGGTCTTTAAATAACTGAGAAGAAAGTGCTGCCTTTGTAATAACATCTGCAAATGGTTAGACTTTCTAGTCTTCTCGGATAGGGACGATAAATGGAGGTCCCGTCTCACAAGTCCTTGTATGTGATAAAAAAAAATTTGTGGGACGTTAAAGAACCCACACACTGTTCGAAAAGAGTAGGTGACACAGTGCCTGGTGTTGTGGTCTATCTTTGTGTGGTGTCTCTCAAATTGATGGGGGTACTGCGCCTTTGAATATTGTATAGAAAGGGTGCAATATAAATAAAGAATTCATTCATTGAAACAACAGCTTTAGAAACTCTTTGCAGTGGCTATTTTATATCATCAACTCAGTTAATACCCCCTAACCAACACAGCACCACAGTTTCTTTCAAAACTTACCCCTTTTATTAATTTAACATCACAATAAACTAATGAAAAATCTAAGAAAAAATGCAAACTGCCTGAATTGTGGTGACACATGGATGAGCAAGGCATAATTGATGTTAGTTTTGCATCTGATTGATTAAGAGAGTGGTAGAAGTTTGTCAGACCAGTTGCAAAATGAAGGGACGCAAACTGAAGTAATCCTAGACAACTCTTTCGATGAAAATGACTACTTGCTGACAAAAGGCTAACAATCAAGTTTCAGCTTTTGAAACTCTGTACATTAGCTGATTTATGTTATCAACTCAGTTACTTAAACAAAATTATCTTGTAATACCACCAACCGACACAACATCACAGTTTCTTTAGAAACTTGACCTCTTTCCTATTCAGATGCAATTTTCATCTAGGAAATGCAAAAAAAAAAAAAAAAACATCCAAATCAGGCCTGTTATAAGTGAACTAAATCAAGATCCAGGTTTATGGGTAACTCAACTGATAATGATACAGTAGTGTTTATACTGAGATTAGGTTCCATGGTGGGCTAATTTAGGGTTGTGTTCTAAAGCAAGGCACTTGCATGCACAGAGCTTTTTTCCATCCAGGAGTGTTACTGGGAACAAGTAATCTGTTGGAGAGGGTTGGAGAAGTGTGGTGGAGCTATCCAGAATTGACTGCATGTATAAAATCGGATTGAGATGGAAAGTAATATTCCTAACTGCTTTATGCTTTCAAAAGCACTGTAAGTGCAGACTTCAGAGACACATAACCTTTGCTGTGTGGAGACTCAACTTGTGTTTGTTTATCTCTAGGCAGGAAAACTTTTGCTTGATCATGACACAGAAGAGAATATTACAGATCTCAGCCAAGGTGATCCATTTATTGCCAATGAACCTGACCCTGCTAAATGCAATGCTATGAATAGTTCCTTGTGGGAACTAAAATCTCTGCAGAGTCACTTCTACCCTGGTGTGGCATCCCTTGTGGAAATGTTAGAAAAGCCTCTCAGTTCTGGTGAAACTGACATCTCAAAGTACTTTGATGATGGTTATGACCAACTGTTTCAGAAAGAATGTTGTAAGATTACAGATCAAAATGCACATTTGGAGTTCCAAGTTCCCAAGGGACTTATCAGTAAGGGCATGGCAGAGAGATGGGTCTTGGAATAGAATTTGGATCAGTGTGGTAGTATCTGAGCAATTGGGCACCCACCCCTCCCTTAAAACCAACATTAACCCTAACTTGCTTTCAGTTGACTGTTAGTTTAGGGGAGGGGTAGGTGTCCAGTTTCCCAGATACGTACGATTGTCCTAGCTTTTCAACCTGTAAGAACTTCAATTATGAAGCGTCAAACATGAGCCATAATCATTCAAAAGGTGTTTGTGGTCACTCGGAGTGTACTTTTACATCCCTTGCAATTATCAATTTTTTCAATTACAAAAGCGGAAAGAAGAAATTATGTGAAAAATTGAGAATTTGATATTTAAATTCCGTCCTCTTTCAAGGGCTTGTTCTTTCTGCTTGAATTTTCTTTGATTTGTTTTCTTTTTGTTGTGGGGGAGGGTTTGAATACTTTGTTAAACTTTGAAATCGTTAACTACATTGTTATGGTTAGTAACTTATGTATTGTGTAAAAGCCGAAAGGAGCGGAAAAATAAAAAGGTCCTAGCGTTTTTAAGGTCTTCATTTACAATCCGACCTAATCTACTCCAAACTTAGCCATCCTATTTGTCTCTTGGCTTATTCCTTCAGTTTTGGAAAAAAATTGCGAAAAACATATTATAAAACTGCATGTGGAGACACTGCTTCATAACGCTGCAATGAAAATAATGATCATGACGAAACTTTTCCTTAACTTTTTGATTTTGATCCTGAGAGTAACTGGCAACTAATTTCTCCTGAGTAGGTCACTGCTGGATCGCTTATTGAGGTTATGAGAATTACGAAAATGATCACCATCTAAAGAATATTTGACCGTAAAACAAAATCTCGCTAGTTCCATACGAAATGTTAAGTACAGTGTGAAGAACATGCATACTGATGTTATGGTGTGGAACGTTAAAAGTGGAATTTTTTTGCGCTCTTGCGTCTCATAGTTATTCGGTGAAAATACTCTGGCTCTATGGTAATTTACTAAATTAAATACGCCTATTGTTAATGCGCACTCTCTAAACGTCTATTGTAGTGCGGACCTACTATTGGTTGACATAGTTCTCTACGTCAGTGCTTCGCCCTCGAAAATACAATAATATAGTTTTTAATGAAACCTAACTAACTTGTACCAAAATTTTAGTCGGGGTTCTTACCCAGCTGCGACGAAAATGCTTTTTCCCTGAGGAAATAGGTTAGACGTTTGGGTTGAACTTAAATTGTAGAGGGCCAAAGACTGAATGACACTCGGAGACGTTCTTGCTGTGGCAAAGAGGTTTTAGACTTCATACATGCTTTAATGCCTTAATAGGTTTACTCCTAAAACAGTCAAAAGATGAAGCGATTGGAAAAAGAATCCGCGAAAAGTTGAAACTTGAACAGAGACTTAGAAAAGATGTAAAGATTCCATTTGTAATTCACGGTGGAAATCTAGTTCATTTCACGGAGAAATCAGGCATGGGAACATCGTATAGCACATGGAGACTTCACAGGAAGACCTCAAGATCGCGAAAATTGAGCGATATGGCGAACAGGGGATCCATTACACAGGGAATGAAAAAAAGTAAAAGTGAGGGTAATTTATTGGACGAAATACCCACCCAAAACGTGTATACCAATCCGTTATATCGACATCAAGACTTATTCGATAATGATTTGTTTTTCGAGGAGATCTTGGCAAAGATAGAGCGAGAAGCTGCCAGGTTGTCAACTTCGGATAGAAAGGGTGAAAACTTACGAGGGTTCGACTCATTTATGATGTACTAGACAAAAATCATATGACTGCAAAGGAGAGTCTCTTCGAAATCGCAGTAAAGGCTCAAAATACGTCAGGGCTTTGACTTTAAGATCACCTGTGGAGAAGTAGCGACGTATTTACGACAAAATTGTGATATCCTTTTTTTTTACGCGTTTATTTAGAGACATCTTAACGTTAGGACGCCCTTAGGGTACTGCGTAAACCTAAAGTGTGAAAAGACGTCATTCGTTTGAAGGAAGTTTTAGCTGTGGAAGCAGTACATGGCTATTATGCCAGAGAATGAAGCGGCGTTTGTTTGTTTGTTTGTGCGAATAGAGTCGCGAAGGCTGCAAAGAGACGCGTTTGTCAATGATAAATTATTCCCCAAAGAAATAAAGATAATAGCGTCCGTTAGAACATGCAATTATAGTATCTATAGGCGTCAAGCTCACAGATAAGGGAGATCATTGACATATCCGAGAAAATATATGATATTTAAAGCGATGAAGATGTGGTTTTGACCATCGACTTCACTAACGCCACCTGTCTATAAATGATTTATCTTCGTATTATTTTCCATCATAGTAACCTAACATGGCTCGGTATCACACCATGAGGCGTTTTTGTTATCAAGATAAGTTTGTCAAACTTGGGGTTTACTTTTTTTTTTTTTTTTGTATGTGTGTGTGTGTGTGTGTGTGTGTGTGTGTGTGTGTGTGTGTGTGTGTGTGTGTTTATAAATATTGAATTCGTTTGAAGTTGTTTTATTCCTTGGAAACAATCTTCACGTCTACTAAACACTTATTTCCAGTATTTTTCTCCTTCGATGCTTTTTTAATATTGTGAATGGGAAATGCCAAATTGACCCGGTAAGTTTCTGTAATCTACATGCAAACCATTTTCGTCAAGAAATAAACAGCTTTCCTCCTTTCAGACAGGTAGGCATGCGTCTGTAACTACCGTGACAGACGGCAAAACATTTTAAATTTTCCGTACCCCATTTTCGCCATCTATTTTCATATTCTATTTTCGTGAACTTTTTGCGGGGCACTCCTTAATGTTTTTCTGTTTGAATTATGTATGGCAACGGAGATCTGATCAATTATGCAAAGTTTTGTACTCTTTCATCTAACTAATAAATGAACTGAAGTTAGTAAAAATTGATTTGACTGTATTCGGAGTCACATTGTCTGGACTTCTCTACTAGCACCTGGATCAGTTACTAAGGTTAGGAACTTTTTTACAGTGACACAAAAGTATATTTATCCGAAACGTCAGCTGAAATTTGATAATGATGTAAAAAATGTCTTTGATGTGCGAAAGAGGAAGCAAAAAAAAGTTTAAATGAACTTGAAAACTTTTAATAAACGTCTGTTAAGATGGGTGGCGACAATTTTCAAGCTCGTTTCTTAGTGTCAAAAACTGATGAGAGTTGTTTTAAGTCTGTAGCAAGTCAAATTGTAACCTTTCTTTTAATTCTTGTATTCCTGGTGCGATCACACCCAACTTCTCCTTACGATATCGATTCACTATTCAGCGCACCGGTGATGAGAATTTGCAGCCTGTGGTACATGATATATCCTGGTCTAACGGCAAATTCTCCTAACTATTAAATTGTCAAGGAAATAGATGGGAAAGAGAAGATAGATATTGAACGTTAGATCCCTGGGGCGGATCCAGGGGTGGTTCGGTCAAACCCCCTAAATTATCCCTAAAAATACTGGAAATCATGTTTTCGAAGACCTTATTTTCGAAATCTCCCGGGGGAGCATGCTCTCGGGCAATTCTCCGAACCCCCCTTGACTAAATCCTGGATCCGCGCCCCAGGATCCATCGTAACTCACCCTATAGTTAAGAGTTTGGCTAAGTCATCGAATTACTGATCAACCGGACCAATAATCGTTCCCCCACCCACCCCCCGTCAACATTTTCTTAATGAAAAGGGTCGCTTTTAAACTTCTTACAATAGATTTTCACTCGCGTTAAAACAGCTTACTGAGTCCAAAGGACAAACCCCGACAAACATGATATGAAACAAAGCCCATCGATTTTAAACCATAAATTACAAGAACAAAAAGGAAATTATACCTCCATTAACTATTAACGTTTTCTGGAGTATTCTCTACTCGCTTTGTTTTCTACACGTTTTTAATTCGGTTTTTGTTTCCATGTGGATGCTAATACAAAATTGCGCTTCAGGGCATTAATCATCAGAGCTCATTAATTCCACCGCGCATTTTATTCACAACTCATTGATTATTACCCCAAGTCCTATTGAACACATACAAGTTTTCATAAAATGTTAATTTTACATATTTGTGGCGTTTGTTCTTCGAATCACCAAACAAATCGATCCAACTACCTTGACATTGTCTTAACTGTGGTAGAAGGTGTTCAGGAAGACCAACTTGGTAATATTTTGCTGGGTATCAAAAAGATTTTGTTGTATCAAATAGAAAGTAGCTAGTCAAGTTTCCAATACATCACAAGCTCATTCTTCTATCCTGGTGGCAATGTTAATTAATGACTTCCAAAGAATTTTAGGGTGGCGGTCGCGCTACTTCATTTGAGCTCTAAAACATATATATTTTTTTAATTTGCTCATACACATCTAATATTACCTAAATTTTGAAGGAGTTAAACCAATCACCCGATCATTTTCATATGTTTCTTGCGCGACCACGTACCACTATGTTTATTTGTTTCTTCACATTTGTTAGCCTCGTACATGTCGCAGGCTCAATTGCGACATTTGGTGACCGGAACATAGAGGCTGCGCGACAGCTAAGCGTTTGCCCGTGACTTATAACCATGACAAAGATGTACAAGCTAAGGCTTACCGCGGAATCTCAGCTACCCGCCTCACCGTCCATTCGCTCTTCCTAGAGGTAAGAAATGTTCCGATTGTATTTGCGACTCAAAATTACGACTAGATACTCTATGAGGTGAAGGAATTACAGTTCCAAATTTCGTCTAACTGCGCCGCGAACATGGTTTATCGACTTTCAGTATCCATAATGGCTCGACTGTATAATTATATAAATACCGCCGTAGTCGCCTCACCTGGGGATAAATCCTCATTTATATGTTTGTTGAGGGCTTTGCCTTACTGCAAGATGGATAGAAAACAGGCGTTTCTTGAGGAGTTCGCTGCCGAAATTTCGTATCGCCTGAGGACTATTAAATACTCGCATAATTTTGTGACTTGATCAGGTACGAAGATAGCGTCTCATTAATTCGCATATCTTGTTGTCATATCATTTCGCCACCTGTACTCGAACATAAAAGACTGTCACTGTTATTTATAGCGCATTACACCCTGGAAAATAGCATTTATTTCTTTGGAAATCCTTTCATATTTATAATCATGTACAAGTACAAAGGATTCTACAGAAAACAATTATTTCACATGCTCTGCTGGACAAATAGGAAAACAATAACCAAACTATGTAGGCAAAATGCGTGGCAATTCAACGGGTTGTTAAAATAAGCGTTCGCGCCTCGAAAATTCTTGCCTTTTTTAAGGACTTACTTCACAAGGTGGTGAATATCTACACTGTTTATGGGGTAAAGAGAGCTTGTTTGTGCATTGCTATCTTCTTAGTCTTTTTTGAGTGGCACTGTTTTGCGGAGCTGGTCACAAGTTGTTTAACCGGAAACATAAAATTCTTAGAACCAAAAACCTTGCAAGCAATGGCGTCAAAATACTGTCCATCAGGTAGGATTACCTTTACACACAAATAGACTAGCTTGTTGACGGGTGCTTTTCTGACTTCGTAAATTTTACATGCAACACATGTTTGTTTGCGATGCAAAGTAAAAATTCAAATAAATGTTGGGTATTCCGTTTTGTAATCGCACTGGAGAATCCCAAGTCCGACCAGACTCTTCCGCGATCAAGCTTCATAAAGAGCCATTTAAGAATCGTTATTAAGATACGACTCATTTTAAGACCGCGAACGGGAAATAACGGTGCTTTCTGAAGCACCGAAAGGGTACCGAGACCTGTTCAGGGCACATTAGATGGTTGTAACACGAAATAATTAACTACAACACATGCACTACATCATGAGACTATCAACAGATAACAGGTGACTGTTAAATTGCATGGATACTGTTTTTTTTCCTGCAGATATAACCCTAAACAACTCGTGAAATAATGCTTGGTCGCCATGTTTGCGATGAAACTCAAGATAAGCTATAAATACGTGAGGTTTTCGCAAAACAACAGTGACCTTGACGCCAACCTTGGCTTCTCAAATTGCAATCTTTTTAATGCGAATCTGGGATTATAGTTTATTTGGCTCCTGTTATAAATGCTCCCAACTCAAAATCTCCAATCCTCCTTATTTACGGCTTTATAGTTACAAATGAGTTCGTCATCTTAAATCTAATCGGATCCAAGGCGGGTCAAATGTTCACGCTTTTATGAAAGGCTACAGTTTAATACAGCTTAACCCGTTTTCTCCCCAAGAGTGACCAGAAAGGAACTTCTCCTCAAAATATCAAAACATTTTTAAGCAGAAAGGTGATGAGAAGAAAAAAAAGATTATTTATATGAATAAACTTCAAATTTTAAGAGAGAAAATGAAACGAAATGTATCGTAATTAGACAGAGCAGATAATTGATAATTAGATTTGAAAGTGAAAGAATTAAACTGGGACTTAAGAACTCCCAATTATATTATGAGCGAAGATTTCTATCGTGTGACGAGTTGACGATACTTGATGAGGGCGGACGTAAAGAGTAGCCTAGCTTGCTGCGTTAGTGATAGAACGCTGGTAGAATTCTACTTAAACGAAATAGATGTAGATGGTGGAATTTTGAATTTGGCGCCGGCGAACCAGTTGTGATTCCGATTGGCCATAATAAATCTTCCAAAGTAGTGTTTTTTCCTCTTTACAAATTATTCAAATTAATTTTAGAAACGTTTAGTAATGGATCTCAGATGATGTCAAAATGGGGTAAGAACAAATTGTTTCTCAGTGGTAATGCAGCCCACACACCCAGCACTAACTGGATCGGGCATAAGTTCTGATTTTAATTGGGAGCTCTCTAATTTTTTTTTCCGGAATACAACTACGTAAATGATAGAAAAATGAGAATCATCTGAATTTCTTAGATTCAAGCGTCATCATAGGCAC